TGTGTTTATACTAGGTGTCATGTGTTTGTGATATTTTACTTCCAAAATATATGAAAAAGCTGTAATTAATGACTTTTAGAAAAATAAGCACTTAAACATTTTATCAGAGAAATAGTTTTGTTGTTTTTTTTAAATACAGAGTCTCACTCTGTCATCAGGCTGGAGTGCAGTGGCGTGATCTCAACTCACCGCAACCTCCACCTCCTGGGTTCAAACGATTCTCCTGCCTCAGCCTCCTGAGTAGCTGAGACTACAGAGGCACGCCACCATGCCCAGCTAATTTTTGTATTTTTAGTAGAGCCGGGGTTTCACCACGTTGGCCAGGATGGTCTTGATCTCTTGACCTTGTGATCCGCCTACCTCGGCCTCCCAAAGTGCTGGGATTATAGGTGTAAGGCACTGTGCCAGGCTGATAAATTGAAATTTTAAGGCCTTTTAGTTCATGTGACTTCAGTGATCTTTGGTAAATAAAAATGGTTTTAAAGATTATTAATAAAATCACATAACATCTTCAAAATGTATGCGTCTGGTCTAAATTAGTCAAAGGTTTTGCAAGGCTAGACATCAAGGATGCAGTTATATTATTGGGCCTAAGCCATGGGGTGAAATATATGGCCCAGGTAGAGGGTGAGAGTGGAAAGACAATGGGTCAGAACCCTGGGGACGTCATCACTTAAGGAAGAGGAGGTTCCCAGGGACAATGAGGACCACTACACAGAGAGGCAGGAGGCTTCAAGACACACAATAGTTTGAATCATAAAAGGCTTCTTACCTCTGGGAAAAGGCAAGAGCAGTGTAGTTAATATTTAGATTTACTTTGCACTGCATTTAATGGAAAATAAAGGAATCTTTATTTTCCTTTATTTTCCATTTAATGGAAAAGATACAAAATTGTATCTTGTTAGTCCTGTATCATCTGTGCTGTGGTTAGAAAGATAAAAATAAAAATGTCTTTTCAAGAAGTGGGGGGATAGTCCTAATTTCGGCAGGCCATAAGACATGTAGCGTCTTCTAGAACCAGGGAAAGAATTAAGGCCAACCAGAATCAAGAAAAATAAGCACCTTGTTTACTGGGTTTAGTACCCAAGTCATTTTGGTGTTTTAGTTGGAATAGAAATCAAATTGCAAAATGCAATGGATAGTGAGGAAGTAAAGAGTATGGACATGATTCCTCTGAAAAGCTTGGTTATAAAGAAAAGGTACAGGCTGGGTGTGGTGGCTCACGTCTGTAATCCCAGCACTTTGGGAGGCCGAGGCGGGTGGATTAATGAGGTCAGGAGTTCGAGACCAGCCTGACCAACATGGCGAAATCCTGTATCTACTAAAAATACAAAAAATTAGCCAGGCGTGGTAGCGTGTGCCTATAATCCCAGCTACTCAGTAGGCTGAGGCAGGAGAATTGCTTGAATCCAAGAGGTGGAGGTTGCAGTGAGCTGAGCTGAGATCGTGCCACTGCACTCTAGCCTGGGTGACAGAGTGAGACTGTCTCAAACAAAAAAAAGGTGGGAATAATATATTCTGGAAGGGGTTTTTTTTTCTTTTTCTTTTTTTAAGATTGGAGAGTCTTGACTGCGTTCATATGTGTTTGAGGAGTAAGGTATGGGCATGGGAAATAGGAAAGAGGTTGAAGATGAAGCAAGGGCTTCTGGGAGACAGGAGATGATGGAATCTAGAGCAGGATACTCAAAGGATGGTCCACAAATGGATGGCACTGTCATTACCTGAAAGCTTGTCAGTAATACAAAATTGTTAGACTTCATCCCAGATACAGTGAATTAAAATCTGTGGGAGTGGGGCTTTAGCAATCACCAGGTGATTTGCATGCATGCTCAAGTTTGAAAAAAACTTGGCCAGAGCACAGGTGAAGGGAGAAACTTTGTATGGAAGCAGGAATGCCACTTCCACTGAGATATGAGAGAAGGATGTGAGGATAGATCTCTGGGGCAACTAATAGAGTTGTGAGTTGATTAGTTTAATTTTCTGTGTGCGTGTGAGAAATATTCAAAATAATAATATCTTTTCAAGAGGTGGGGGGATGGCCCTAATTTCAGCAGGTCATAAGACATGTAGTGTCTTCTAGAACTAGGGAAAGAATTAAGGCCAACAGCATCAAGAAAAATAAGCACCTTGTTTGCTGGGTTTAGCACTTGAGTCATAATACAAAATTGTTAGACTTTATTCCAGAGACAGTGAATCAGTATCTGTGAGAGTGGGGCTTTAGGAATGTACCGGGTGATTTTGATGCATGCTCAAGTTTAGAATCGCTTGGCTACAGCACAGGTGAAGAGAGAAAATTTGTATGGAAAATTTGTATGGAAGCAGGACTGCCACTTACACTGAGATATGAGATAAGGATGTAAGGCATGATCCTCTGCTGAAGGTCTGCAAAAGCTGCCTTGGTCAACAGAAGAAGGACATGCTTAAGTAAGCATGTTAGAGGCTCAGAGGAACATGGAGACGAAGAATTGGGAGTCCAACATGAAGACATTTTAATCTTCTGACAACTGAGAGGGCAGAGTTAATTTGATCCAGTAAGGGGATGTTTGACTTGTGGGTACAACTGAATTGACTGATCATGGTTTAGGCCAGAAAGTTTCAGGTAATGCAGTCAGTAAGGGAAGGAAGCTGACTGACTGGAAACAAAAGGGTGAAGTGCCCGAAGGTACTAGGGAGGTCAAAGAAGAAAGGCAGTGGGAACTCTAGAGCACTACAGCTGCAAAGATGTTGGGTTTTGGTTGGAGAGTGAGATGCTGGTGTGTAAGGTTTCAGAAGGGACCTCTGAGTCTGATTAAAATGCAAAGAAAGTATCCAATAACAAAGGCAGAGTTCAAAACAAGGAAGAACTTGGAAGAACAGAGACAATTCAGAAAAGACTTTAAAACACAACTATAATCAATGTCTTCAAAGAAATAAAAGCAGGTATCACATCTATGAAAGAACAAGATACTTAAATAAGGGAAGGATTAAAAAATAAGTAAACAGCTCCTGAAAACTTAAAATATGAGAACTCAGAATAAATACTTAATAAAGGTTTGGGAAGGTAAAGGAGAAGAAACATCCCAGCAAGTATAACAAAAAGATAAAAACATAGGCAATAGGAAAAGAAAAGATGTGAAAATAGAGGACTGAGTTTATATCAGTTACTTCATTAAACTGTCGTATTATTTATAGTAATTTGTCTTTAGATTCATTTGTCTTTAGATTCTATGGTGTAATCATGTCCTCTGTAAATGTTGACAGTTTTATGTCTTCCTTTCCAATCTTTTGGTTTCTTCTTCTTATCTCATTATGCTGGTAATGACCAAAATACAATGTTGAACAAAAGTGATGACAGTAGTCTCCTTGTCTTCATAATTTTAATGAGAATGCATCCCAACTTTCTCTTTTTGGAAGATGTGTTTTCGAATAAAAAAAAGTAGATACCCTTTATCAGGTTAAAGAAGTTCCATTCTATTCCTGGTTTGTTTGTTTGTTTATTTATTTATTTATTTTTTGAGATGGAGTTTTTGCCCAGGCTGGAGTGCAATGGCACGATCTCGGCTCACTGCAACCTCCGCCTCCCAGGTTCAAGAGAACCTGGCGTCGCAAATAGCTGGGATTACAGGTGGGCATCACCACACCCAGCTAATTTTGTATTTTTAGTAGAGATGGGGTTTCACCATGTCAGGCTAATCTGGAACTCCTGACCTCAGGTGATCTGCCCACCCCAGCCTCTCCAAGTGCTGGGATTGCAGGTGTGAGCCACCACGCCCAGCGTTATTCCTGGTTTATTAATTGTTTTTTTCTTTAAGCCAGGGATGGGCAAACTACCACCCAATGAGCCAAATCCAGTCTGCCACTTTTTTTTTTCTATGGCTCATGATCTAAGAATGATTTTTACATTTCATGTAAAACGTCACATAATATTTTGTGACATGTGAAAATTATATGAAATTCAAATTTAAGTGTCCATAAATCAAGCTTTATTGGGACATAGCCATGTTCTTCATTCCTTTATGTGTTGTCTCTGACTGCTTTTGTGCTATAAAGGCAGAGCTGAGTAGTTGTGATGGAGCCCATAGGGACCTACAAAGTCAAAGTAAATATTTGGCCCTTTATAGAAAAAGTTTACTGATTCTTTTTTTTTTTTTATGGATTCTTTGTTTTCTTTTTATTATTATTATTATTATACATTAAGTTCTAGGGTACATGTGCATAACGACTGATTCTTGTTTTAATTCAAGAATGGTATTGGGGGGAAGTTAGGTTCATTGATGTGCAGACCAAGAATAAGGGAAAGATCTCAGCCCTAACTCCTTCTTTCTTTTTTTTTTTTTTTAAGATGGAGTTTTGCTCTTGTTGCCCAGGCTGGAGTGCAATGGCGCGATCTCTGCTCACCACAACCTCTGCCTCCTGGGTTCAAGCCGTTGTCCTGCCTCAGCCTCCTGAGTAGCTGGGATTACAGGCATGCGCCACTATGCCCGGCTAATGTTGTATTTTTAGTAGAGACAGGATTTCTCCATGTTGGTCAGGCTAGTCTCGAACTCCCCCCTCAGGTGATCTGCCTGTTTCGGCCTCCCAAAGTGCTGGGATTACAGGCGTGAGCCACCGCGCCTGGCCACCTAACTCCTTCTTATACAGATTTTCAATAGGTCCACCTTTTTCAGGTTTAACCTCTTACCCTAGACTTTCTTAGTTTTTAGCTTTCCGTTTCTAGAGATTTAGGGCTCTGTCTCAACAGTGGTTTTCCTTCTCTGGGTGCACAATAGGTTCCACTTTCATCAGCTCTGCTTTTCACCAATTTGCCAGAAAAGCATTACAGTCTATTGCTGTTCCCTGTTCCCCTTGTCTGGCTGATTATTTCTTTTTAGAGTCATTTTAGCAGTGTTTGGGGCGGGGGTTATACCTTTTATTCCTCGGGTATAACCACTCTTCTCCCAGAGCACAGTGAAAGGGAGGAGACCGAGGGCAGGGAGAGGGAGGGGGGTGTGACGGGGTGGGGAAGTCAGGAAGAAGAGGGGGAAGAGCTACTGGGGAGGTGGAAGATGGGGGAGGAAGAGGACGATGGGGTGGGGTGGTTCAGGGAGTGAATAGGCCGGGATGGGTGAGATGAGGCTGGGTTGTACGTGCTTGAGAAGTCGGGGAGTGCAGAGGGACAGAAAGGTAGACGGTGCGTGCGGGAAGAGGGGATGAGGGGTCGGGGCGCGGGGCGGTCAGTGGGTTGAGGGGAGTGGGGAGGATTTAGGGTGAGAGAGGTGCCATCGTGCTGGGGAAGGCGGGACTAGGAGAGGTAGAAGAATGGGGAGAGAAATGGGAGGGAGAGAAGGAACCTGGGGCAGATCTGAGGGGAGAAGGCGCTTGAGGGGGAACGAGGAGGGTAGAAGGCGTGTGAGAGGGAAGTGTGAGAGGAGAAGGGGCGCGAGGGGGAACGACGAGGGGAGAAGTGGCGCGAGGGGGAACCGCGAGGAGAGAAGAGGTCCCGCCTCCCGGCCGCGCTGCCCTCGGTGTCGCCGCCTGGCGGTTACAAGGAGGCCGCCTCCCGGTTGCCGGCCTGGCGGTCCTACTCGCCACCGAAAGATTTCAAAAGGGAAATTAAATTCCTCCAGGGCTGAGTCACAAGGAAGAAAGCGATTTCCTCCGCCTCTTCCAAAGCGGTAGGTTTCCTTTCTCCGCCCGCCTCTTAAATAACGTGGTATCTCGCAGTTTGGCTGAAACCTGAACTAAATGCAATGCTGTTTTGACTTTACTTTCTCCCAGAGCAACAGGTGTGATATAATCTGTTTTGAGGCCCTTCCTGTGCTCCTCCTTGGGCCAGAGTATGGAAAGCTCGTGGGTCTCTGTGTGTGCCGGAGCAGCTGCTCTGCTTGGGTCTGTGTGTCGGACCCAAGGCCTTAGTGGCATGGGCTCATGAGGGAATCTCCTGATCCACCAGTCGCAAAGATCCATGGGAGAAGCATGGTGTCCTGAAGTCGCACAGTCACTCACTGCTTCCCTTGGCTGGAACTCTGTGTCGCTCCTGGGGGGCTATCGCCCCATCCTGCTTTTCTTTGTTCTCTGTGGGCCGAGTTGTTTTCCTGATCAGTCCCAATGCAAGTACTTGGATATTTCAGTTGAAGGTGCTGTATTCACTTGCCTCTTTTCTGCGAGCGCTGTGGACTACAGCTGTTTCTAATCAGCCATCTTGGCCTGGCAATCTACAGTAGTAAATCTTAACATTGGGTAGTGTGATTCTTCCTACTTTACTATTCTTTTTTAATATTGTTTTAGCAATGTTTGTTCTTTTGACTTACCATATAGATTTTAGGACCAGCTTGTCTATATCTACAAAAGGAAGCTTTTGATAGGAAATATGTTAAACCTATAGACCGATTTGAAGAGAATTGACATCTTTGTTGTCTTCCAGTTAACTGACACTGCATGTCTCTCCGTCTGTTTAGATCTATTTTTATTTTTTCATCAGCATTTTGTAGTTTTCAGCCTGCTGATTCTGTACCTATTTTGTTAGATTTATACTTAAGTATTTAATTTTCTTTGGAGTGGTTGTAAATAGTATTGTGCTTCAATTTTGGCTTCCTATTTTTTATTGCTAGCATAGAGGAATACAATTGATTACTATTCTGTAATATTGCTAAAAATGTTTTTGAAGATTCCTTCGATTATTATCTCTGGATATAAGCTTCTGGGCTGATAGGTCTTATCTTTTAGCACTTGAAAAATGTGCTACTTTCTTCCTGTTTTGTGTTTTTTGGTGAGAAATCCACTGTAATTCTAACTGTTGTTCTCCTATAAATAATGCTTTTTCTTTCTGAATGTTTTCAAGATTTTTTTAAGTTTTCAGAAATTTGATTATGATGTATCTGAGCATGGATTTCTTTGGGTTTATTATATTAGAAGTTGTTTTAGCTTTTTGAATTACACATTTATGTCTTTCATTAAGTTTGAGAACTCTTCAATCATTATTTTGTTAAGAAGTTTTTTCAGACCAGCCTGGGCAACATGACAAAACACTGCCTCTATAAAAAAATTAAAAAAGTTAGCTGGATATGGTGGCACGTGTCAGTGGTCCCAGCTACTCGGGAAGCTAAGGCAGGAGGATCGCCTAAGCCTGGGAGTTTGAGGCTGCAGTGAGCTGTGATCATTCCACCACACTCCAGCCTGTGTAACAGAGTGAGAGCCTGTCTCTTTTTTTTTTGTTTTTTCAGCATCCTATGCCCTCTCCTTCTGTAATTCCAGTCATAGGAATGTTAGAGACTTTGTTATTGTCCCACAGATATTTGTTGCTGTGTTCATTTTTTCTTTTCTTTCTTTCTTTTTTTTTTTTTTTAAGTATACTTTAAGTTCTGGGTTACATGTGCTGAACGTGCAGTTTTGTTACATAGGTATACATGTGCCCTGGTGGTTATCAAACTGTCACCTATATTAGGTATTTCTCCTGATGTTATCCCTCCCCTAACCCCCCAACCTCTGACAGGCCCCATGTTCCCCTCCCTGTGTCCATGTGTTCTTATTGTTCAACTTTCACTTATGAGCAAGAACATGCGGTGTTTGGTTTTCTGAACTTGTGATAGTTTGCTGAGAATGATGGTTTCCAGGTTTATCCATGTCCCTGTGAAGGACATGAACTCATCCTTTTTTATGGTTGCATAGTATTCCATGATATATATGTGCCACATTTTCTTAATCCAGTCTATCATTGATGGACATTTGGGTTGGTTCCAAGACTTTGCTACTGTAAATAGTGCTGCAATAAACATATGTGTGCCTGTGTCTTTATCATAGCATGATTTATAATCCTTTGGGTATATGCCCAGTAATGGGATTCCTGGGCCAAATGGTATTTCCAGTTCTAGATCCTTGAGGAATCACCACACTGTCTTCCATAATGGTTGAACTAATTTACACTCCCACCAACAGTGTAAAAGCATTCCTATTTTTCCACAACCTCTCCAGCATCTGTTGTTTCCTGACATTTTAATGATTGCCATTGTAACTGGTGTGAGATGGAATCTCACTGTGGTTTTGATTTGCATTTCTCTAATCACCAGTGATGATGAGCATTTTTTCATATGTCTGTTGGCTGCATAAATGTCTTCTTTTGAGAAGTATCTGTTCATATCCTTTGCCCACTTTTTGATGGGGTTGTTTTCTTCTTGTAAATTTGTTTAAGTTCTTTGTAGATTCTGGATATTAGCCCTTTGTCAGATGGATAGATTGCAAAAATTTTCTCCCATTCTGTAGGTTGCCTGTTAACTCTGATGATAGTTTCTTTTGCTGTGCAGAAGCTCTTTAATTAGATTGCATTTGTCAATTTTGGCTTTTGTTGCCATTCCTTTTGGTGTTTTCGACATGAAGTCTTTGCCCATGCCTCTGTCCTGAATGGTCTTGCCCAGGTTTTCTTCTAGGAGTTTTATGGTCTGAAGTCTTACGTTTAAGTTTTTGATCCATTTTGAGTTGATTTTTTGTAAAAGGTGTAAGGAAGGGGTCCAGTTTCAGTTTTCTGCATGTGGCTAGCTAGTTTTCCCAACACCATTTACTAAATCTGGAATCTTTTCCCCATTGCTTCTGTGTGTCATGTTTATCAAAGATCAGATGGTTGTAGCTGTGTGGTGTTATTTCTGATGCCTCTGTTCTGTTCCATTGGTCTATATATCTTTTTTGGTACCAGTACCATGCTGTTTTGGGTACTGTAGCCTTGTAGTATAGTTTGAAATCAGGTAGCATGATACCTCCAGCTTTGTTCTTCTTGCCCAGGATTGTCTTGGCTATGCAGGCTCTTTTTTGGTTCCATATGAAGTTTAAAGTAGTTTTTTTCTAATTCTGTGAAGAAAGTCAGTGGTAGCTTCATGGGAATAGCATTGTATGTATAAATTACTTTGGGCCCTATGGCCATTTTCATGATATTGATTCTTCCTATCCATGAGCATGGAATGTTTTTCTATTTGTTTGTGTCCTCTCTGATTTCCTTGAGCAGTGGTTTGTAGTTCTCCTTGAGCAGGTCCTTCACATCCCTTGTAAGTTGTATTCCTAGGTATTTTATTATCTTAGTAGCAATTGTGAATGGGAGTTCACTCATGATTTGGCTCTCTATTATTGGTGTATAGGAATGCTTGTGATTTTTGCACATTAATTTTGTATCCTGAGACTTTGCTGAAGTTGCTTACCAGCTTAAGGAGGTTTTGGGCTGAGATGATGGGGTTTTCTAAATATACAATCATGTCATCTGCAAACAGACAATTTGATTTTCTTTCTTCCTATTCGAATACTCTTTATTGCTTTCTCTTGCCTGATTGCCCTGGCCAGAACTTCCAATACTATGTTGAATAGGAGTGGTGATAGAGGGTGTATTTGTCTTGTGCTGGTTTTCAAAGGGAATGCTTCCAGTTTTTTTGCCCATTCATTATGATACTGGCTGTGGTTTTGCCATAAATAGCTCTTATTGTTTTGAGATACATTCCATCAATACCTAGTTTATTGAGAGTTTTTAGGGGTGTTGAATTTTATCAAAGGCCTTTTCTGTATCTATTGAGATAATCATATGGTTTTTGTCATTGGTTCTGTTTATGGGATGGATTATGTTTATTAATTTGCATATGTTGATTCAGCCTTGCATCCCAAGGATGAAGCCAACTTGATCATGGTGGTTAAGCTTTTTTATGTGCTGCTGGATTCGGTTTGCCAGTATTTTATTGAGGATTTTGGCATTGATATTCATCAGGGATATTGGCCTGAAATTTTTTTGTGTGTGTCTCTGCCAGATTTTGGTATCAGGATGATGCTGGCCTCATAAAATGAGTTAGGGAGGAGTCCCTATTTTTCTATTGTTTGGAATAATTTTAGAAGGAATGGTACCAGCTCCTCTTTGTACTTCTGGTAGAATTCGGCTGTGAATCCGTCTGGTCCTGAACTTTTTTGGTTGGTAGGCTATTAATTCCTGCCTCAATTTCAGAAATTGTTATTGGTCTATTCAGGGATTCAACTTCTTCCTGGCTTAGACTTGGGAGGGTGTATGTGTCCACAAATTTATCCATTTCTTCAAGATTTTCTCTTTTATTTGTGTAGAGGTGTTTATAGTATTCTCTGATGGTGGTTTGTATTTCTGTGGGATCAGTGGTGATATCCTCTGTATTATTTTTTATTGCATCTATTTGATTCTTCTCTCTTTTCTTCTTTATTAGTCTGGCTAGTGGTCTATCTATTTTGTTGATTTTTTTCAAAAAACCAACTCCTGGATTCATTGATTTTTTGTAGAGTTTTTTGTGTCTCTATCTCCTCCAGTTCTTCTCTTTAGTTATTTCATGTCTTCTGCTAGCTTTTGAATTTGTTTGCTGTTGCTTCTCTAGTTCTTTTAATTTTGATGTTAAGGTGTCAATTTTAGAACTTTCCTGCTTTCTCTTGTGGGCATTTAGTGCTATAAATTTCCCTCTAAACACTGCTTTAAATGTGTCCCAGAGATTCTGGTACGTTGTGTCTTCATTCTCATTGATTTCAAAGAACATCTTTATTTCTGCCTTCATTTCATTATTTACCTAGTAGTCACAAGCAGGTTGTTCAGTTTCCATTTATTTGTGTGGTTTTGAGTGAGTTTGTTAATCCTGAATTCTAATTTGGTTGCACTATGTTCTGAGAGACTGTTTGTTATGATTTCCATTCTTTT